AAAACATAGAACAAGAAAATATCAGAAGATGAATTTGCTTATACCTTTCGGGCAATCCGTCAAACACTTGAAAGGCAGCCGTATAAAAGGTGGAAGTTGATGACAACTATTTGAATAAGCCCGCCAAAAATCAATGTACATAGCAGCAGCATGAACACAACTAAGCAATCAATAACCGAAAGAATAAAGAGTTTTGAATTTGCAAAGAAAAAATATAACAGTCTTCCATACTCTGTCGTCGATGAATCACGGTTGCTTTCAGAAGCTTGAAGTTGGAAAGAATTTCGTTGCATTCCAGGCTGATGTATATAGGTGTGGAAACATTAGATATGTTAATATGCATTTTGCTTCGCATACAAATATTGTTGGAAACTCTGAAGCTTTACAGAAAAGCTCAACAACTATTAGTTCCTATGGTTTTAATGTTAAAACTTTTGGGCGTGACTTATTTGACAAGAAGGGAATAAATCCTCATCTGTATTTGTTAAAGGCTTCCAATTCCAGATGGATGATGATTTGTTATTGGGCTCAATTAATCAAAGGCCTAATATATGGGGTATTTAAGTGGGTAAAGGTTGTGGGTCATTTCATACACATGAAAAGCTAATCAATTTGGGCTCTCTTGGACCTTGTAAGGTCATATCACGCCTTTCAAGTCCGAGCCAAAAGATGTCGCGACACATTCACCCAAGACACGTCGTCCATGAACAAGTATCGATGGGGCATTTGTAGATACATAAAATTTGTGGCCAATCAAATGACGTCACGTGGAAATTAATTTATAAAAATCGAGTTATATTTTTTTACTTTTATTTTGTGAATTTTCATATATTTAATTCCTTAATTAAAATAGTTAATTAATTGATACTTTAATATTTAAATTATTGACTAATCAAATAATGCAAAATCAAATTTTATATCTTGGCAAATAAATTACATGTCTTCTAGAAAATTTGGGAGATCTAAGTAGATCCAGAAGATCTTACGTGAATCATCGTGAACCAATCAAATTGCGACTTACGTCTTAAGTTTGGTAGGATTCTCTCTCCTACACCTTGTTAATGGTGCGATCCGATCGACGGTTAATAAAAAGTTAAAAGGTGATAAAAGAGCAAGGAAAGAAGAATTTACGAAATAAATAATTTTATTACTTAATTACGAGGCCGGCCTCTTATATAGAGGTTGGCACTTTTTGTGATACTGGGAATATTCGCGGGAATTTATTACAGATCTGAAGGAGTAGATGTAGAGAGAGAAATATTTGGCACAATGTTCAACAACCCTCGTAAATGAAATGGGTCTCCTATTTATAGCAACCCCAAACTGATACTGTTTGGATATTGTTCATCCTATCACTTCACACAGTAACTTAAGGAGACAAGTCGCCGCTGCTCTGACAGATATTAAATGAATTTGAGGTAAATTCAATGATTACCTGTGCATTTAATGCTGACAGGCCCTTCTGCCGGGATAGGTACTCTAGGGTGACATGCTAGCATATTAGGTCCCATCAATAATCATTACATGACGGGTGGCAATATTCTATCATTTCTGCACCATAACTTCGCACGGGATCCGATCTCGTTGGATGTTCCTGTTGGACTTTTGGTCGTCGCTTCATCTTCCGATCTCTGGGATTCCGTAATCCTACCCAGCGTTCGTCCAGGTCAGTGTTGACCGTCTCCAGACAGAAGTTCTAGCCTCATGAACCATTCGCACACCCCGCTAGTCGATTTCGTTCCTCTTCTAGCTCGGTGTCTCTCTTGTCGTAAGCGTCGTCCTACTTCACGTTAGTATCGGCATTTTGACTGTTGCCCTCGGACCGTTGACCTCAGACGATTCAACTCGGATATCAACACACCTATAAATAGGAACTCTCCCTAAAGCCAAAAACACACATCATATTTCATATTCAAGTTCAAGAGCTCTAGAGATTCTCTCGATGAGATTCAAGTGTTCTTGAAGATTCAAATGCGTTCTTGAATATTAGAAGCAAAATTCAAGCGCGTTCAGCCTCAAGACTGGCTTTCAATGCAGAAACAAGTTGCGAAGCCTCCGATTTACGTTAGTAAATTCAAAATAGGCGTGGAGAAGATTCAAGGTCTACTTTGCGGTGAAGACCAAGGACTCGTGTTCTTCAAGTTCTTGGGATATTACGGCGTTTGATATGAAATCAAGGCGTTGGCCCTCGGCTTAACGTTAATTCAAGTCAAATCAAGTCAAGGAGAAGATCAAGCCGAAGATTTCTTTCCAAGACTTAAAGTCATTCGTGAGAAGAATCAGAGGAGAAAATAGAGATTGTAATCCACAATACTTGTTTGATTCGAGAAATTCATTTGTATAATATTTTTCGTGTTTATAAATTCAATACACGAAATTTGTTGTTACAGGATGAACTACTTCATGGTGTCGATTTTATGTGTTTTCCGTATTTCATTTGTGATTTCGAGTGAGGATAGAAGGTATATGATAGAACTGATTGTGCCACTTCTACATAGTATAACTTCATTTTAGATGAAAACCAACTGCGATGGAGAGCCAAAAAAAATTAGGACACCCAAAATCGAAAACTCAAATCGCTAATTTTCAAACCGAGGTAAGATCACTTCACTCGGGCTAATTTTCAGTCCCTTTAATCTTATTCAAAAGTAGTATATAAGGCAATTATTTACGACATTAATCATCAAAAATAAATCTTTTAATTGAGATTCAAATTTCAGTAAAATCTTATTATGTACATTTAATTTCAACAATTAATTGTTATTTTCTATTCGAATTAAATTTGGCCAGTTAAATAAAGAAAATGTGGTTTCATAATAAAACTAAATTAAATTCAATTGCAAAAAGTCATAATTATGACACCATTTTAAATATGTTACAATATTATGTTACTAATACCATAATTATGGCACCAATACTTTTCGTTGCAAAAATTCGTTACTAATGCACCAAATTCTAGTAATCGAGGTTCACTTACTATAAATAGCGTACGAGAAATCGTGTAAATGGGTTACGGAAATTATGGCAATAACACAGATAAATATTCTTTCATTCAATATTGATACTAAATACTCACTCGACCTGGAGAACTGATTGATCGACCTGGTCTATAGTATTACACCACTGCATCCGCATTTCATTTTTCATCTCCTTTTTTGTCTGATTTTCAAATTTAGCATGTTCAATCGCAATTAATTCTAACTAAACACTTTTAATTCGTTGATCAAATTCGTTCATCAACAATAATTATAGCTGGATTTTCGTTGTTGGTAAAAAAATTTTAAAATTCCGCTGCATGTGCGCTAGGTTTGCATGTCAAAATTCCAACACCAGCAGTGGTGTATTTCTAGACTACAACGGAGACGTTAAGGAAGTTAGGGTTAAGTCTCCTAATAGATTGAGGTGTAGGCTCAGGGTAACTCTGCATCTTTGTGCCTATCAATAATCTTTCTCAAACCTAAATTAAATGGTCTTCAATACGCAACCCCTTCATGTTTAGGTATCATACGCTCTATTAATTAATGTAATTAATAATAATTTAATTGATTAACATTTTGAATTTTCAAATCAATATCACTCAACAATTTGTTGGATAAAATCCACTTAGAGGATTTAGCTTGATAATCATTATAAGCTCATCTCAAGGACATCATCATCCTAATGCATCAAGACACGACTGTCGGATACAATCAACAACAGATTATATAAATAACACCATTCTTCAACTCATAGGGCTTGTTGACTTAATAAATAAGTCACCATTTGATAAATCAAAAGAATGCATATTGAGTATAAGTACCCGTTATCATACCCGAGTTAAGAGTACGAGTTACATTTGAGCTTTAGCTCATTTACTTGGTCGGTATAAATAAACTTATTATCTGTGGTAGAGTTCAATACACAAAAAGTTCACTTGTATAATTTATTAGTTTAGATAAACTAATTAAAATTATACTACAACCATACCAATATTTTGGTCCATTCTATCTCGGATGTGAACCCTATTTATATTGTACATGGAACCATCAATATAATCTTACGTTCAAAGATGTCACACTATATTAACAAAAA